CCTACTAATCTGTGAATCTGTGATTCTGTGAAAAGTATCTGTTACCTGTTACTCCAGGTAACAATAAGCAGTATTATTAGTTCCCAGACCAAAATAAAAAGAATATTCAGCCAGGAAATCTTCAGTAACCCTGTACAATTGCTTCTCATACTCCAAAGCACTAGAAGATAATGACAGCAACAGCAAAGATACTGAAAACAGCAACAGAAACACCCAAGGAACTGATTAAGCTCATTAAAATCATTAAGACACAGGTGTTGCCTGGAAAGTGCTTGTCTGGGAGTTGGATGGATGCTCCAGGAGGAGAGAGAGGAAGAAGCAGAGGTTGCACATGGAGCCAAAGGATTCTTCTCAGCAGCTGAAAACATGGACCTGGGGCCAAGAGGAGAGCCAGGGTCACCCCGCCGGTCCCAGCCTGCCTCTCCTCCCCATGCATGCCCGCGACAGACCTCGTCTGATAGTCCCCCAAGACGGCAACAACTGCCAGCCTTATTATATTTAACTTTAACACTCCTCCCGAGAACCCATCTGCCCGCTGTGCTCGGAGAGCAGCCACACACCAACACTACACGGGCACAGGAGGATGCAGACACCCGCCCTTGCCTGCCTCGGCCACACCAGCCGCGGGGTTTACCATCCCCATAGGAGCACCTATGCTGATCCAGGACCAGAACAGCCTCTCCTAAGATTCAATCACAATGACTAACAGTGGATGAAAATGACTAATGGTGGATCTCCGCTTAAGCCAGCGCTGCATGTATGGACCATTGCAGCGGAGGAGCTCAGCCAGGCCATCCAGGGGGCCAGCACTTGTCCTAGTTGGATGTGAGAGACACATAAGGGATAACTTCCTCCGGTGAGCCTGGAGTTAAGCCGCCTTATAAATATCTTTTTTCCTTCATTCTGAGGTCTGCTGTTTGCCCGCAGCACTGTTAGGGTTTGTGTGTTCGGCAGCGTTGCGGCACGGACGCTGCCATTGCAGATGGACCCCAGCTATCGAGCAACTGGAAGAGCTCCAAGCCCATATCAAAAACAAACAAGCCGCTAGATTATCCTTCCCTCCAAACCAGCCTCCCGACAGTGTTTAGGAAACAAGCCCGTGCTTTGAAGTTACACTTCAAAAGACGGTTAGGCAGAAGCCAGCCTGAAGGAGCCAAACCCTCTCCCCCCCAAAATATACACAGAAATGCTGTTTTCTTAAATTTAGAGAGGGAAGCAGTGACAACAGCTGGTGTCATCTTTGGGGAAGTGTGAAAATGTTCTGCTCGGGTAGCTCTGCCTTCAAGCCTGATCCTCATTCACGTGAGACGGGGAGAGAGACTTTCTATTATAGTAACACCAGGAACTGTGTTATTATGGAAGAATAAATTCCCACATATAAATGGAAGAACAAATGTGAAGCCTGACAGTAAGGTCTGGCTGGTACATCCAGGAATATCCAATGAGCTTCTTCCACAAACACTCCCTGAACTAACAAGAGATGGTTCTGCATTACGTTCGGTTTCGGTAAGTAGCTCATATAGAATTAGGGATGAAATAAGTACTAACTCAGGGTCAAATGATCATGAGTTAATTTAATTTACAGTAAATGGAAGTTTAAACAACAGCCACTTTGTAATCAAGAATCCCAGTGCCAGAAGGACGAAGTTTGATAAAGTAAACTAATTAGCAGAACAAAGAGGATGGAGGATGTCAGAGGCTTGCCATGTAATTTCTGCAAATTGCAAATTCTGCTATCATCTCCCCAAGCACGGGGGAATAATTTGCAAGAGAAGACTCTTGCATAGCCTCAGGGCAAGGAGGGGTGGCATAAAAGTCTTGAAAAACATCCTGTGAGAGAAGATAAAGCTTCAAGATGTTGTCTTAACCCTATGAACATTTCCTTTGCCATCACCTTCCAGCCCCTCAACTATCCAGATGGCACCAAGCAGAATGGGTCCCGCATCAGCAAGGACAGCTGGAAGGTGCTTGGAAAAGGTGGGGAGGTGACACTTGGAGCCAAGTGGAAAGGAGCATTTAGGACAGGCTTGTCGATTTTAATTTTTAACTGCAGAAGACCTTTCTCATTTTCAGTGTAATCACTAGCCATGACTAAAACCCAAATCGAACAATCTTACCCCAAATTTAATCGAATGCATTGGGGTACTAGCAGAAAAGGAGACAGAATAAGGACTGATCACAAAAACAAAACCAAACTTATGCATCAGAAATTCAAGAAAAACAGGGATACAGTGAGAAGCAGCACAAGTCGAGCTGATCCTGGGAAGGATTTAAAAGAACTCCTCAGCTTTTCAGCTCTGTGAATAACAAAAATGAAAGAAAAGAAGTAAAGTCGCTACGTGACTACAGGGCAGATGCCACGGATTATTTAGATACAGTCCTGCAACTAAAATTTATTTCTTCTGTTTTCAACAATGGCAATGACATCAACCCCGTGGCAGACAGGGAGGATAACAAGGATGGCACAGCCAGAAGTTCACCTGTCTAGTGGACTCAGTTTTCACAAATGAGCTTGAGCAGATGTGAATTAGAGGAGAAGTTAAAGAAATTTAGCTTCTAGAGAAACTGGGTAAAGCTAAAAAATCCGCAAGTATCATTCTTGAGCTCTGTCTTGGTTTAGAACTTCATTAATGTCCCTGGTACAGAAAGCAGATATTTGCTAATGACATCTGTAGATGGATGGAAGCTCTCATTGCTGACAAGGATTAAGGCATCATAAAGATATTACTGTAAGACATCTGGAATGAATCATGTTTTTTAAAAATGCCAGGTCATACACTTAAGAGTAGGACCAGGCTCTGCTGTACACTGCAAGCCCATCGGTTGGAAATAGAGGAGAAAGGACTTGCACTGGATTGCTGCTAAAAGACCAAGCTTCCTATATAATGCAGCTCAGGCCAGCGTAACCCTGTGACACAGTATTATTGATCGAGGCATCGATGGGGATGCTGCACAAGCAGCTCAGCACAGTGAAGTTGTGCCTGCATTTGGGATTCTCAGGTGCCAGTGAAGTCCAAAGAACTGCACCAAACCCATGGTTAGTTTTCTGACATCTACTCCATTCCCTTTTTTCCATCTCAGGGAAAACATTTTTTTCCCAGCTTTCCTCCTTCTCTCAGATTAACTCATTTTCAAACAGCCCAAGTATCACAGCCATTTAATTTGCAATGGAATTAATTCTTTGTTGTGGGCTGTGCCCCCTCAAATCAGATCCCACATAAAAAAACCTTATCTGCATATAATTAAATTCAGAATCGGGTTATTATTTGTCTCTTGTCTTCACAGTTGAAAGAAAAAGCCCTTGAAAACCTGTGTGATTTCAGAACAAACCACACAGTGGAGGCTTCCTGAATTTGCAGACATCTGAAAAGAACAGCTCCAAGAGCAGAAACTGCCCTATTGATTTCAAATTTCAAAGTATTTAATGGCAATCAGAGAAAAAAAAAGAACTTTAAGGAATCTTAAAAGGTCACCTAGTCTCCTCTCCCAAGCAAATCATCTGTGTCTGAAGAGCTGTGCTGCAGCGATCTAAACATGCCAAGGAGGAAAGGCTTGCAGGGAAAAGTAATGCCTTTTATTAAAACAATCAATTTGGCTGGAGAAAAGACAATGCACACACATACACACACCCCCATCCAGAACCCTGGGAGCCTTCCTCCATCTGTCTCAGTTCACGAGAAGTGTTTGGAGAGTTGTAGGGGCGTACAAGAAAATAATCTATGCCCTTCTCGTGAAGGCATACATCCCTCAGTCCATTATAACTGACAAATATAAGTTCAAACCTTAAAGAGATTTAGAGGATTAAGATCTGCAATCTTTTTGCTGTAAATATCAATCCTGAGACGCCCATCTGCAACTTGAATTCAGCACAAGATCTTTCAGCTTAAAGCTGCCTCAACATCATTTCTGCTCTCAGAAACCTCGTCTTAAATCCATTTAGTAATTCCCCATTTCAAATGTGTTTTGTCATGCAGAAAACCACGCCAGGCCCCTGCTACATCCTCTTTCGTTTCTGTTGTAAGGAAGACACATTTCCAAAGATCTGAATCCCAGTCTCCCATTCCCTCTTGCCATCTCGGCATGGACCCTCTGGAGCTGCACAAACCTGAATCCGACTTTGCGGGAGTAATGCAGGCAGTTCTCCTTGACGTGAGTTTGGAAATAGGCAGAGCGGCAGACGGCTCCGCACTCTGGGCAGCAGTACGGAGACTTGTGAGCGTGGATCCTCTGGTGAGCACAGTAACTGCACTGGTTGGGCAGCATCATCTGGCACACTTGACACGTCTGGTGAAAGAAAGGTTACATTAGCTTTCTCTATTTGCTTTTTTCCCTCCCCTAATTCACCCTAGATGACTTTCAGGTTTAGAGGAAGCTCCAGCATATTCCTCTAGTATTAGCATTAACTCTACAAAGCTCTTCGGCTAGCCACCTCCTCATTTTTTTCCACAACAACCCCAACAAATTCCACAATTAGCCATTCCCAGTGGCAGCATCCATTCTTAAACCACGTCCTCTGTGGTTGTTTCCCTTTTTTCCCCTAAAAAAGGAAAACAACATCTTTCACCTCCTAGCTTTGAACACGTTCTGCTTGGTCACTGCTTTCATTTCTGCATTAAGGCACTTGAGAAGGAAAACACTTTTCTCAACAAGCCCCCACCCTGCACCAAAATCACCCCAAAAAAGCAGGAAAACCCCATTGCACCCTAACTGGAAACCCTTACTGCTGAACACAGAGCAGTCCTGACGTGCAGCAGCCTTCCCCACCAAAACCACAGTTGTGTCTCTTGCAAAATTTCTTTGGACCAGATGAAATCTGAACTTCCAAAGACCACAAACTACGTGTGCTATGACACCCTTATAGAAACTTCTTGATAACTAGAAATTACGCAGAGACTCCCTGTTTCTGCACCCTTTATGATTTTTTTTCCCTACCATTAGAAGGGCCACACTTACTATCAATACTACTTTGCAGAAGAAGTATCGTTTACTTGACATGTAAATGTTTCATGTGGACGTATCGTCCCAGTTTCAACAGTGGAATGGGAAAATGGGAAATAGAAACACACCCAGGACCTCCCTGCAAGAAGCTAAGCGGGACCGTAAATTCTCCAAAGCTCTCTCAAATCTCAAAATAAGAGCTACAAGAAGAAATTAATGTTCAGGGCAGTTTTACTGTCTTTTATGGCATTTTTTTCTAACCGGGTTTTGATCTGCAACAGGAACTTTAACTTTTTGGCATTGTTAAAACAGGACTCCTCTCGCTTTGACCTCTAGTATTTCAAGCAGAGTCAGCACAACCACAAGCAGAAAGCACCTTTGCCCTTGTAGCTTAGCGAGAAGCATTTTCTCCCTGGATCCTGCCTTGTCAAAACCAACTTAGTTTCAATTTTAAGGCAGCAAAGAGACAGTTTGGGGCTCACTTCTTCCTCCCCAGCATGCCATACCCACCTCCCTCAAAGGCTCCCTTGGCACCCTGGCAACCAGCACATGTTAAAAACCTGAATTTTCACTGATGTGTGTGCTTGTGCTGGATCTAAAATACGCCAAATCAGCTGATATTTAATGAAGTCCACACCTGGGCACTGCTGTGTGGGGATATGCAGGCTACGGCAGAGGAGCCGTGAGCTCCCATCACCTCCCTCGTACATGAAAAGCTCAGCAGGGACCACGATATGCTAATGCAGGGCAGAAAAGTTTGGGGGACAGATAGCAAGAGGCATCAAAACTAGCAGTTATCTTCTTCAGGCTCTGCAAGAGCAGGACCCCTGCCAGAGAGTTGCGTACACACGATAAGGGAATAAAAAGCAAGACTCGGTGAGGATAAGGCTAAATGAATTTATTGCGTCTGCAGACGCTGGGGAAGAAGCTGGAAGGATTCCCACGCTGACACCATGCTCTGCGGGGGGGGGGGGGGGGGAAAAAACGGCCAAAGCCTCTGAGTGCAGATCGTCTTGTGGAAGAGACAAGAAGTTACGGAGTAAACAGACAAAACCAAGAGCGATGAGTCACAAGGACAAATTAGTAAGAATAAGGAAAACTGTCATCCTTAACCAGCATTACTTCTGTACTTGGGAAAAGTCAACGCAGCTTCTCCCTTCCTGCTTCACGAACCTATCCGAGCTCTCCAGAGGAGTCAACAACCATGTGGGTAAGGAAGATCTGACTTGCAGATGGGTCAGGCTACCTGGAATTCCAAAATAGTTTTGCAACACCCTTCACTAAAGGATTTTAAGAAAACTAAGCTGCCATAGCATAAGAGAGGAAGGCTTTTGCATGGGTAAATAAGTAGAAGAAAGGAATAAATTGGTTCTTTGATGGAGGAAGGTCCCTGGGAAGTCCTGCTGGGATTTGGGCTCCTCAAATTAGACTCAAAGTATCTGAAAGGGAAATGAGCAGTGAAATGGCAACGACTGCTATCGTAACTCGGTAATTCAGCGTGTTACACATAATACCTGGCTGTGAAGGACTGCAAAAAGACCATACAGGACTGAGTGACCAGATAATAAAATGGCAGGTTATATTTTTCCGTTAAATCAATCAGGGAAAATACTAGAGCTGAAAAAGCTTCACTGGAAGGAGAAAATTATAACCAGCATCTTTCTGCTCACACCCATCCTTTCCTTAACACCCGCTGAAGATGCGAGGCCAAAAACCCTGCCCAGGGGTATTTCAGGAGGGTCCGCTCATCCTTTTAAGCCAGGAGCTGCTGCGTTTATCAGGAGCAAATGGGCAGCCTCGAGTGGGCTCCCCCACCGAAGGCTTCATCTTGGAGACGGAGCGGCTTTTTCTTTTGCAACTCTTCTGCTTTGTATGAGAAATTGTAACTTGGTTCCAGATGTCACATTTTTATCTCTTTCCTAGTTTTCCATGACTTTTCAAAGAAGTCTGGCAGCAATTTGAGACATTCATTAGTCAGTTATTTCTAAAGCATGTTACCAGGATATGATTTTGAGTTGTGTAATGTCTGTGTTTTTCATATACTCCCATAACCTACACTTTAATCAAGAGTTATTTATTACAAGTTTTCTTTAATTCCGGTTTGCCTGCCACATTTCATTTGGGCTTTTCTTCCAGAAGTCACATTCGCGCACACACACAAATGCTCAGAAGCTCAGACATTTCAGAATACTTGATTTTATTCCCATTTTTACTTATTAGCTTCTTCGGGAAGGAAAAAAAAAATAAAAAATACTCTCTGAAGTAAGAGTGAAGGTTGAAAAAACGTACTGCTCCAAAGAAGTTCATCTGTTAAACCAAAGCCTGTGGCCACAGAGGTGTTTGTAAATCAGGGAATTTATAGTTAACGCAGTTTTGCCTTAGAAAGTGCCTGCACAGAGGCAGCACCGTTAACCTTTCTGTTTCACTGAAACAAAGGACTACACAACTTGGCGTCAAATTTGATCCATTCACAAGCGTGTTTTCTTCTAAGCGCCGGCGGTGCAAAGCACCCCGGATCAGAGCAAGCTCCCGTCTTCTCACTGCAAAATTCCTGCGGCCAATTTTCTCACTCAGATAAAGCCTGTGAGCAGCAAGGGCACGATCCCCTGAAAGATGAACTTGGGGCACAACCCCCTTTGCTTTCACTTACTCCCAATATGCAAGCAGAAAGGGAACCGGCTGCAGCACAAGCAAAGAAACTTTACATCAGTTTTAGAGTCTCTTTGCTGTTACAGTTAAGTGATGTTGATGAAGTTCACATCTATTTAAGAGACGTCCCCAGACTACAAGAGTTCTCCTTGATACAATCATGTAGCTTCAGCTGAAAACACAGGGCTACACTGACACTAAGGCATGGGATCAAGGCTACAAAAGAGGAAAAGATTCATAACCCTAATGATCTCTAAATTAAAAAAAAAATTAAATTACTGAGGACTCAGAGTGAAACAGTTAGAGAGGAACAGAAATTATATTTTTGGAATGCAAATGTTTTAAAAGAGCGTTTGTCCTTTACATATTCAAACCAAAAATCCCCCACCAGTGATGCCCCAAAGCCCTAGTTCTTCCCAAATCCAGCCTTTTGCAAGCTTTTATTTTTCTACTTTAGGCAGAGCTGCAGGGGCAGCTGATACTTCTGGCAGCTGAGGGATCACAGGCAGTTAGAGATTAGCAGGATGCTTCTGCTATAAAAAAAAAATTAGCAGCGTATTACTACTTAAAGTTAACCTTTAACTTCACATTAGCTTTCACTTACTGCCTCACTGGGATAAATGCCAACAACCTGCATCCGTCAGCATAGATGCTCCAGTGTGTAGCGGCGTGATGTGCTGGCTCTGGCAGCACAGCTGGTCTCAACACCTCCATCTCTGCAACTCCGCGCTCCCCTTCCCCACCTCCCACCGGTACGACTGTTTGCTACAGTCAAGATCCAGATGCTTGGCGGATTATATTTTTGACTTGGTTGATTTCAACCATGCAGGTTACAATGCTGCTACACAAAATTTTACCAATGTGTGAAGTGGTGAGCAGAGAATTTCTTTTGCTGTCGTCGTGATGACTAAACTATAGGCATCCCCAGGCTCTCTTTAAATGAATAGGCATCGTTGCATTAGAATGTTCAATTTATAGAAGAAAAAAACCCCTATAACAGAAACTCAAGATTATTAATTTGAAGAAGAAGAATCTAGAACCCAACTGATACTCTAAAACCAGCGCATTCAGGTTTCAGTGACAGAATACATGTCAAGTCCAGTCCTAACAGACATTTTATCCTAATTAACTCCTATATGCTCTCACATTGTCATACCCAAGCACAGCAAAGATATTTTTATTTCCTTGATTACAGTTGCCTATTTTAAGATGTCAGCCTAAAGAGCCAGTGCCACTGAGAGAGTCCACTTGGCCTTCAGTCTAAAGGACATGACCACAAGACATCCTTCGATCCAAAACTTCTCCCATCCATCCATCCATCCATCCACCCATCCATCCTCTCTTCTGCCACCTCCAGCTTACTCCCTCTCTCCACCTCACGTCTAGTCATCGTTGCATCCCACCTCCTCGTCTCGACCTTGTTCACTCTCATTTGTATTCCTGCACCTTGCTCACTGCCCAATACTCCCAAACCTAGCATCCTCCTCACATCTAAATCATCCCAAAACACCAAGGTGCTTACGCCTCAATAAAATAAGACATTTGACTAAAATCTTATTCCCTGTAAGTTAAGGCTGTTCAATAACCACAAAACACATTTTTGTGTATGTGGAAAAATCCCTGGTTAAAGCATCAGTATAGACCTAGAAACTTGACAGTTTTAGGAATTGAAGTGGAATTGCAATGGAAAAGAACCA